CTTTTTACTTTTGTTGCTTTCCATCTGACTGGCACACTTGCAGTACAAGAAGCGATAATCGCCCTACTTGTACCTAACTTTCTGGTTCGTTCTCGGAGTTTCACCTGCTAGCTCATCAAAGTCACGTGCCCTCAGGCATAATTTTCTTATCTAGCTTAATAAGGCCCCCTCTCTGTAGCTACATCAGCAACTTCACAATCCATATCTGTATCTGAATGTTTTTCAGACAGCACTTGGCATCATTAGGCTGGCCATAACTCTTTTTTAGTTCTCCTGCTGTTTCAATTTAACTTGCTAGCGCCATATGCCTGTTAGCTGCGACTGCTTTAGTACTTAGTCAGGATGAATCCAAGATTTAAGTTAAGCGTATTATTATTCTACTCTGCATATGATTCAGTACAAACGTGTGTTTTGGTTACCCTCAAGCTAATAGAGTTTAATTTGCGTAACCAACAGATTGGTGTATTCATAAATAGTCTTATTTTAAGCTTCTACTTTAGTAGGGATATTTTTAGTTTGTAATCCAACCGGAGAAAAGTCATCGGGCAGTTTTCTACGATTACTCAAAGGTGAATTTGCATTTTAAATTTATTTAGCGTAAACGACGACAGTATTAGTAGACAATATGTGCCTTCTTTTACTGTAGCAATAAACAAGCAACTCTTCACTCTTAACGAAAATTGATTCAGAGCTCACGATATATCTAAATGAGCTCTTTCTTTGCATTAAAGTAATAAAAAAATTTCACTGTTGGTGATAAGTTAACAACGGCTGAAAGTCAAACAAATGGGAAAGCACAGCTTCCGTGGCCATGAAATTGAAGGATAGTTGTAGTCCAAAGAAAAATTCCATAAGTAGCGTGTCCGTAAACTTAAAGTAGACCTCTTCAACATTTAGAAGCCTTGAAAGAGGCAACAATGTGAAAGACATAAGTGATGTGACGTTTGTTACAGAAATGAACATGCTTGATGCTCAAAATGTATTTCTCTTTTGTACTATATGTACCTTAAATATCTAACAACTTTTTCTTTTCATCTCTCATAACATTTAAATCATTAGGTGTTTAGTGGCGAAAACGTTAAACATATTCTTTTCTAAATAAATTTTAAGCTGAAAAATTAAGCGTACACAATATTGCAACTTTGGTCAACATGTTTTGCATACACGCTAACAACTCCAAGCAGTTTTTACTAATACTGAATTTCTATATTATAGCTTTCCAATAAATGTTTTTTCTATAGGATTCAATGGACCTGAGTTATCACTCTTATTATCGTTTGTAAAGTAATCATATGATTTTAATATTCCATTAATATTTCCTTTTATATAGTAAATGTACCTTTTTCTCAAAGCTGTCCGAAATGGAACTGGGCTACTTTTTTTATTTCCAATGACAAATTATGAACAGTTACAGCAAAAATACAAGAATAAAGAAGATAGAATACAGCAATACAATGAGGAAAAAAATAGCTGCAACAGAGTCCATTAATGTAACATATCTCTTGCCTCCCAGTAACGCTCGGCGAGAGAATTCTTGCGCAGAGCAGGACAATGGGGTAGATGTGCGGCATCCATCACCTCTCCAGAGCTGCACAGAGTGCATATCGGAGAAGGAACAATTTTGAATCTATGAAGATGATATTGTAGGCAGTCATGTCCGGTGGCAAGACGGAATTCAGCGAGCTCTACACCTTGAGCCATTACACAAATTCGGGATAGCATTCTTCCAAGACTTATGAGAAACAGGGTAATAGAGATCTTCCTGAGCACGTACTTTGATAGATCTTTTAATAAGATCCCTAACAGTATGGAAAGGCAAAGGACGATTAAGCATTATTAAAGCACCCTTTTTTGCCAAGAAGTCGGCTTTCTCGTTACCTGGAATCCCACAATGGGCAGGAACCCACTGGAGAACAATAGTTTTCTCAAATGAAGCCAGGTTTTGTAGATAAAGTCGACAATCCTATAAAGTCGACAATGTTCTGTGATATGGGGTTTTTATCTGAAACGATTGCCAACAGATCAGCTTGGGAATCACTGAGTATAACAGCTTTTGAGAACTTTTCCAAGTGGCATGATAGCTGCTACAGAGCTGTGCGAATTGCAGTAATTTCACCGTCAAACGCAGAACCTTTGCCCATAGGGATGTAGAAAAAGAAAATTTCGGAGAAAACTCCGGCACCTGCATTAGGGCCATCAGACAAGAGGGATCCCTCAGTGAAGATCCCAAGCCACTGATCTGGGTAAGGTGTGGCTCAGGGTAAAAATTATTTAATACATCGAAAGCGAGGGCTCTCAAAACAGACGGATCCGTATTACGTTTCGTTACTTTTTGACCGGGTCAAGATTAATACAGAAAGATTTCAAATTCATTGGATTTTGTAGTGGAACAAGTAATTCTGGTTCATTCATTAAACCAAGTGAACTTTTTAACTGAAAAATTCTCTGTAGAAAGCCCATCTGGATCTTTAGATTTCTAGGCAGATCTTGATTGACTTCATTCCAAAGTGAAAGACATCCAGGAACTCTAATGATCTTTTCCCAGAGAATTAAGGCCCTTGTGAGCTACTTGTGCTCTCAAGCTCTCAGTTAACATTTCTAATGACAGAATAAAACATACTAGGCAAATGAATTTTATTCGCTAAAAAGGAGCCCTCTAGCGATTGATATGTTAAGAGCGCTGAATACCTATAGCGAGAGGCAGGTTCGAATAATGGCTAATAACGCAGGGTAAATGAGTGTTTTTATGGTCTTCTCCATATGTAATTCAAGTACCAATCGTTTAACCTTACAAAGGTCTTCTACTAAGGTATACGACCTCTTAGGGAGGTACCTTGTATGCTTTGCCATATTCAAACATACATTTTCAGAACTGAAGTTATAAGGTAGTTTCTTCCTCTTTTCTGCATGCCCTCATGGTGTAACGTTAGCACACACAGCGCGTATTCGAGAGGTCCAGATTCGAGTCTCGGAGAGGGCACTGCACATTTTTTCTTATCCTGCTTCAAAAAATTACTCTACAAAATAAAATAATCTATTTTTATTGCGATTTAAAAATGCTAAAATATCTAACTATGCAAAATGAGATGAATATTAGAAAACAATAGTAATGAAAATAAAAACTATGATAGTTTATGAAATCAGCATGCTGTTGCTAAATCACCAAACCTATTTAAATTAAAAAATGAATGAAGCAATAAGAAAGGATAAACTTATATTTTCGCTTACTTTTTATATTTTTTCTGATGTACAAGTGTGTGGATTCAAACGACGGTAAGTAATATAGAATAGAAGCATGGTGATAAAAAATGGTTCAATATTCAAAGCATTAGCTCAAGTTAGAACATAATTAACATTTACGAGCCTTTGTACATGTCTATTATGTTCACACAAGATACATGGGTTCTATACATGATTTATCATCTTTCAGATAAACAGGTTTCTTATATGCTTTGACATTACTTTGTCTAAAGTAGATTATATCTCTACCGCTGCATCTCTTTGGATCTTTTGGAATTCAGTAGCAAGATTATCGGGGATCAAACAAGTTAGAACAACTACCACCTATATGGGAAAAGAGAAGTCGTCTACAGGCAGTGCAATGTGGATAGCCTGCTCCTGAAGTACGATAACCCTCCAAAGAATTTGGACATGGCTTCAAATCACCCCATTTCAACGTCGATTAGCCACTAAAGACATACGCCAATACACTACACAGTGTAACATGCATTCTATGGACTTTAGTAACTGTTAGCCAATATGGGTACCACTTTTACATCTAGAGAATCAGATAACAAGCCTCAGGGAAAAGAATACATCACTGGACTACAGTGATACGTGACCTTGTCGAATAGATTACTTTTTCAGTTGCTTCTAGCAAACTGACGTATTGGTGTGAGAAGGAAATCACATGAACTGTATGTGAAGAAGAAACCACATCTATTTTCTAGCAACGTATTGTGCAAGCTGGTGATGAGGTCGTTATAGTGTGGTGTATGTAGTATTGGAATCATTAGTGCAGTAGAATCTTCTTTTAGAATAATGACGTGCATAGATTTTATTGGATCGGTGTGGTGTATATTTTATTGGAATCACTAGTTCAGTATAAACATCCTCGATAGTAATAATGCGCACAAATTTTACTGAAGACCGTCTGCATTTCATTTATAAAAATCACATTTACAGGTTGTGATTATTTATTCCAGTAAACTAATGCAATTAAACATTGTGCACGAGTGACGTAGAACCAGCTGAATAAACATTCTGCAGGATATATACATATACTTTAACGGCCTCCTTCCTTTTCAAAGTTAAACTTTATTGTATACATAACATGCAAATCTCACTAAATATTTTTAACCAACGTTCAACTCAAAGGACTGTATTACACGTAGCCCCAGAACGCGCTTAGTTTGACATACTCTATCAAAAACTCCAGCACATATTTGACTCAATGCCACTTCAAACAACCACAGTTATTCAGAATATACACAAGCTTAGTAACGCTTAAAAGCAACGCTTAGTAACGCTTGATTTAAGATGTTGTATACATCAGATACTAATTTTTATCCATATTTTCATATCACGTTTTACATTATCGGACTACCGAAACGAATGTAGAAAGGAAAAAAGGTATATGTATGAAATGCTCTTACAAATGTTTCAGTCTATAACTTTCATCTGGTTTCCCTTTTATGACTTTTTGTTCCCTATATTCTTATTTCTTTTCCTAGAAGCACTGGAAGCCATATGTAATAAATAATGTAAAATAATAAAAGTTACATATGCTAAACAATCATCATTCTCAAACACGAATTTTTAATCAATCTTTTGTCGTTAATAAAGGTCTAAATAAGCACTAAATTATGTGACTGTTTAAATCCCCTACATCCGCTTTATGCACATCAGCATAGTTTGAGATACTTATCTTGAAAAATATAAAAAGAATGAATACATAAATATAAATTCTAAAATAAAATAATCACCTTAAAATGTCTTACCTTTGAAAATATGCTGATTAGGGTATGTAACAGAGGCTGCTATGTAGGGATTGGCATCAAACAGATGAGTAATAAGGTCGTTAAAGAAATTGTAAAGCTAGAAATAGACACAAGAGAATTTGAAATATACAAAGGCAAAACTCATTTGCTAATAAAAATGCTCATTATGTTTAGCAACAAGGTTTATTTTATATAAATGCATTTTCATTTATTTGTATTTTAAAATGATAAACATGATGAAACTTTCACTCCAATAATATTTATTAACTAACTGAAATCCGACTTTTTTTGGTGGGGGTATGGGGTTAAAAGTTATTTAGAATAAAGAGTAGAAACTGCATTTGAGTAACTAGAAATCAATTTATGATTCATTAACAATTCATTTGCATAAGACAGCAAATAAATTAATTTATAAGTTTTTGGGAATCAGCTGACACCGTTAAAGATTTTGCAATTTAAACTGCAAGACTAATATACTAAGTTGCAATAAAATTAAGATTAAAACTAAATTGCAGGAAATCAATCTTATAAAGTCTTTAGCTGGACGTATATAAGATAAGCGCGTTTATGAATTTTAAGAAAGCTCGCAATATAAGACAGATAATTTATAAAACAAGACGTCCTGAAATATGTGGGAACAGAAATTTTTTCCTGTTTTGCATTTTAAAGCTAAGATACATTTCAGAAAAGAAATGTTAAAGAGAATTAAATTACAAAAATGCTGCAATGAAACTTACTTTCGTCTGATCTTGTTCTCCAGCATATTCTAACGATTGGAAGATAGTCCAAGAACACCGTCTTCTGACTTCTTGTCTAGCTAAGTATCTTCTATACCATTTCTGAATCAAAATAGCTGCATTGAAGGCTGGAAAGTGTTAAAACGTAAGGCTGTGTTTTCCATGGTATAAAATCTAACTTTTGTGTGAAATAAAACTACAAAATATTTTTTATACATAAATACTACATTAACAAAATTAAAATAAGGCTTTGTTTAATAAGGTTAAAGGCGTCAGAGAATAGCAGCAGAACATAGTACCCTAAAATGCAGTTCTTGGAATTTTTCGGAATAAGAAACCTAATGTGGTTGAAATACTTTAGATTACATAGAAAATATTAAAAACAGTGGGATATTTAATATTACTTTTAATGTAAAGTTTAATGCGTATGAAAAGAACTAAATTACTTGTGTGCTTTAAAGATATTGTAGATTCAAAGTTCAATCAAATAAAGGAAGATGAGAAAATAAGAGCAATGTTATTTCTGATGAAGAACCGTTTTGTTATTTCTACCAGATATGCAATTAGAAAGAAAAAAATTAATTTATGGAGAAAAACAAATTAGACGTTTGCTTAAGAAGCCAACAACGACACTTTACTTACATATTTAGATATTTTTGTCTTGTTCAATTTTATGCTCCTACAAAAACAAAATTTAAAGTTTCCAGGATCAACCATGAAAACGAAAACCGAAAAATGAAATACATGTTCTTTTTCAAATTTAAGAAAAACATTCATTTAACATTTTAATTCAGGGCTAATTAAGTTCAAATAATGCATATTATTTGGAGACTAAAGATATCATTTGTCGCCTCTGTTGGTATTTTTACCAATTATTGGAGTGCTTTCTTATCATAACATCTTCCTCCAAAATGGATTGGACAAAGAAATAGACATACCTACTTACTAAGAACAAAATGCTTTATGGGCCCACCAGCGGCCGAGCGGTAAAGACGCTGAACACTGGTAGTTCGGTCTGAGGTTCGAATCCCGCGAACGGGCTGGCTGCATGGGCATTTTCGTGGTTTTCCCCACGTGTAACGTGTATACGAGCCAGTTTCCCTTAGAAAGTTCTCCACGAAAGGCATCCCTCCCCTTAGGCAGATAGCCCTCGTGTGCTTTGCCATAACTGAATAATCCAAATCCAAAATGCTTTATTTGTTATAAAAGTTTTTACTACTATTCAGTTGCAAAACCTTTGTTTTTTAAGGACTTCATTAGTTTTCTTTGGCGCGAAGCTAACTAACTGTGCATCTGGCCCAACTCTACAAATTTCTTTCAAATTTGATGGGGGAGGGGAATGATGGTCTTTTCTTTTAGTTCAAGCCATATGATCGCAGTAGTTGGATTTATGCCCGGTGACTGAGATGATAGATCAATCCTGTTTCGTTTGAATTAGCTTTTAGTGAGCTTAGCTGAATGCATCAAACTATTACCTTATTGATAGCATCATTTCAGTGGCATCTTCTCTTCTACTCATAGTAGTACTCTTCTTTTAAAAATTGGTCACAGTACAGGTCACGCCAAACCATGAGAATTACCTAACGACATAAGACTACCACATTCACCCTTAACAGTTTTCGTTTATATTTTGGACTATACACCTGGCCTTGATGTCGGTAAACGATCTGCTTCTCGCCTATTCCAAACAAATTAATTTTTGTTTCATCGTTTCAGAGTATATTTTTCCACTGTTCTTTGATTTTTCAAGGTCGTTTACTGTATGGTATAATTTGGCAAAATGCACACTTTTCGATATGCGTTTTCCTTGAAAACGAAACAAAATAACCTTACGGAATTTTTTTCATTTACCAATGAACGTCGAACTTTTCGGTCATTAATATTAAGTCTATTTTGAAGTTCTTAGAAGGGCAAAAATATTTTTTCGCATGCTTTTCGGTAAAAAAAAAGCATTCTTTTATGTCTTGAAGATATTTGAGAAAGCCTGTCCTTATCTTCAGGCATATTTTTGGCATACATTTCTGTAAAATCTTTGTAGAAAGCATCCAGCTGATTTAGCAGTTTTTCTAATTTGTAATCGTTAAAATAGTTTGTAACGTAGCCCAATTTAAATGTTTTTCCCTTCCCATTTTTTTTCGATATAACTCACGTGAGAAAAGCAATCGTTTAATGTGAAATTTCAGAGGTCAAATGAAAGAATGATACATGTTATAAATCATTTATTTATTTACTTGTTTAAGTGGCGAATGGCATTTCTTGTAAAAGCAGGGTGTTAATGATTTGGATCAGATGACCGAAAACTATGATTTAAAGAAGCTGAGTTTTTATAAAACCTCGTTGATTAAAATCAGGTATTCTCCTGTTTCCTTTAATTAATGAAAAGTTTATTGAAATCAAAGATTAAGAAATTTCGTGATGCTTTTAAAGTGGTTTTAATTACTCAGTACAAAACAATGAAAGCATTTTAAAGAAGATGAATATTTAAAATACTTTAAACAAGCCATTTTAGTGCAATCCGAGAAATCGTGTCATTTCCCTTCCGTCTGTCTTCAAGTGTACATCTGATGATAACTGCACTTATCAGAACACCAGGTCAAGTATCTAAGTAAATATGGTTTCAGAAGCACCAGCTTCTCAAACATCTAAATTAGATCATTAAAAGGGTGCATTTTAAGCTACAAAGGCATCATTTCATAATTCAAAAGATCCTCATTTCATAAAATAATTGTAGCTGCTGTGCCCTTAATATAGGCCTCAAAAGAAAAGTGATCTAAGTGGTAAATTATAAATGAAATACACTGTTGGCTATTAAAATTGCAACACCATGAAGGAAAGAAAATACAAAAAACATATTTAATATACATAAACAGTATGGCATGAAGACGAATTGATTAAATTTGTAAGCAGTTTGGGGGTTTATAGGGGTGCCAAATTAGTAGAAACAGCGGCCTTCTCTGGCAGTTAAAATGGCCCTTACCCGGTTAGGCATGGAATCGAACTGGACTTGGATGACAGAAACGGACAACTCATTCCATGCTGCTTTAAGTCTATGCCACACTTCATCAACCGTATTAGTTGGAGAGGGATGGAGCAACCAATTACTAGATTTTTTCAATGGGTGAAAGACGTGCAGATAAGATTGTGACCGTGCAGATCAGGCCAGCAATCGAATATCCTGTATATCGAGGAAGGTCAGAACCAGACGTGCACCATGTGGTCTTGCATCATCTTGCTGGAAAATGGCGTTTGGCAGGCCTCGAAGATAGGGCACAACCACTAGACGTAAGATGTCAGAAATGTACCGATTTGCGTTCACATTACCGTCGATCCGATCTAGATATTTGCGCGTCGTGTACCCAGTGGCTGCTCAAACAATCACACGAGATCCAGGACCCTTATGCAAGCAGGTGACATCGAATGCAAGCAGGTGACACGTTGTCTACTCGAAGCTTCCAGACACATATACGGTCATCAGAATACGGCACGCAGAACCGAGACTCGTCTGAAACGACGGCATTGGGCCACTCCTGTATCCAGCTTTGTCATTCGGAGCATTAGAGTTGTCGTTTCTCTCTTTGTTGCATTGCCAAAGGAAGCTGAAACAATGGTCGCTCTGCTAATAGTCAACGCTGCTGCAAACATCGAAGCACCGTACAAGCGGATACTGGGCCTTCTGCAAACATGCGTATTTCCTGACTAATGGTCCGTGATGTGGTTGTACGGTTTTTCAGAGCTGACTTCACAATAAGTCTATCCTCTTCTGAGTTATTCATGGAAGGGCGTTGAGATTATGCATGTTCAGTGTGACCCTCAGCAACCCACTGATTCCATGTTCACATGACAGTGGTCGGATGTCTACCAGTGCGCTTGGCGATATCACGGAACGATAATCCACACTCTAGATCGGCAAAGATCTTGCCTCTATCGAATTCCGAGACTTTCTGGTAAGCATTTCTTATTATTATTCGATTCATATCATGATATTCTGAACAAACTCTGTCTTTACAAAGCGCTTTCAGAATGAGAAATCCACTACACAATTTTTCTTTTATGCACTGCTTCAGATGTAGCTTCTCTTTTCTGCGTCGTCTAAATGCACTGAAATACTAATCATTTGAGTATGTATCCCAACCTCTTCTTCCTTTCATGTGATTTTGACCTTCCTCAGATCATTCGTTCCTGGTGCTGCAATTTTAATGGGCAGCAGCGTGTATGAAGAACAAACTGAGGAATATCGTGCTGTTTTAATTAATCAAAAAATATGTATGATGCTAGACATTTAGTTTAATACCCACAATCAGCTAATAATTTACATATATTTGCATAATTGATGGAACTTTACATTTAGTGGAAACTATTGATACATCACTAACATTATGTACAAGTGAAGATTTACTTATTCTTGCTGTTCATGCCATTAAAAAGCTGTAAACAAATATAAATGCGAAATTTGTAGTTTTAACCGATAAAGCAGAAGATATGGGGAAAATGATAAAAGAATTAGAAAGCGGTTTGCAGCTTATATCTTATGGATGTTCAGCACATATACTCAGCTTAATTGGCCAAAGATGTAAATGTGTTAAATGTTGCTGAGCATTTTATTCACGGCGTACCGTATGAAACTTAATATGCGATTTCCTTGATATCTCTATAAAATCCCTGGTCAATTTTTATGAAAACTGCAGAAGTAAATTGAGATGCAACAGACAAAATATTAAGTCAAATGTTCTTAATATATGGCAGTCAACCGAAATGTAGAAGTCTTTTATTTCCCTTGAAGACAGTTTTCCTTCGCTTTGGATAAAATTCAAAAGTGTAATTGGAGAATCTGTTAAAGTTTCGAAAGATCCTGGAAACAGCACAAAGGTCTTCACAAAGTATGGATAAAATTATTTAAAACATAATACGAACAAGTATGGTTATCGGGAAAACTTTTAGCATACGTGTTTTCAACAAAATCTGAAGCCGTATTAGCAAGTTAAAAGAAAAACAGACAATCAACTGCTTTATTTAACATTACATTGAAACTTATAATTTGTGCTCCACCTTTCCTCGGAAACCTCTTTAATGAGTTAGTTGAGTCAGAGTCCAAATCAATAGATGCATAGAGGGAACAGGACTGAATATC